AAAAAAAAAAAAAAAATCTAAGAGTAATTAACAATTTGTGATTTATTATATAAATGTTTAAATAAAATTATACACTATCGTTGTCTAATTTATGTATTAATAAATTTTTATATTTTTTGATAACCACGGAATTAGTTTTCTTTATGTACATAAATATTTTGAGAACGAATAAATAGTGAATTATTATTGATTTGATGTAAAATTATGAGATAAATGATTGATAATGATAGATAGAGAATTAATGAATTATGAATTAAATTTGATATGATATGTAATAATGAATTAATGATAATTAAGTTAGATTTTAAGTAATATTAAAATTAAGAATAACAAAATCGAGTTAAAATTAAGTTAGATTTGAAGCATAGTTTTTAAACCCGGCTCGGTGATTGACCCGGGAAAGTCTCCGGGTCACCGGGTCACCGGTTCAACCGCCGGGTCATCGGGTCAATTGCTGAACCGGATAATTGATTTTAAAATTTTTAAAATTATATATATATAGTATTTTGTCATATAAATATACATAAAATAACAAAATTAAATGTTTTGTATGTAAAATTTGTATATTAAAGTGATAATAATATTTTTTTAATAATAAATATTTACCATATAAATATATATACATAGTTTTATTTTTAAAAAAATAAAAAAAAATTAAAATATATGTAGGGACCGGGTCAACCGGGTTGACCCGGCCGGGTCAATGCCCCGAGTCGACCGGGTCAAGGCCGGGTTGACCGGGTTTTGACCGGGTTTAACCGGTTCATTTGTTATCCGGTCTAATTAGCACACCCAGACCGGTTCTGGCTCCGGGTCGACCGGATCCCGGGTCGACCCGCCGGGCCGGTCCGGGTTGAAAAACACTGATTTGAAGTATCAAATAAATATACCCAAACATAATTGAATAATTCATCATTGACCGGCTCCACTGTAGTACAGAAATTATGGGACAAAAGTTAATCTTCAGTTAAAAAAAATAAAAATGGGTCACTTTAAGTATAGGATGAAAAAGAGGTAAAAAAAGAAAGAAGAAAATAAAAAGTAAAAGCAAGGAGGGCAAAAATGTAATTACACATAATGAGAATGGGTCTGACTAATTTAATACAATTTTGTTATTTCATTGCTGTCTAAAAATTGTATAAAATAAATACACTTTAAATATTTGTTAAAAGGTAGACTTTATAAGAGCATCTCCAATATTTATAAATATTTATTACAGAAAGAAAAGTATGATGTTATGTAGGATTTAGAAATTTTCTGTAAAAAAAATGTTTTCCAATAAAAAAGAATTTGGTTCAGATGATATGTTATGTGAAAAAGTGAAATAAATATTTAATCGAATTCATTTTGAGATATGAGTTTAGACACAATTTATTTCTATAAAAATAATTATTTTAACAAACAACTCATAATAATGATATGATTTGCAGTAATGCCAAGGAGCTAACTTTTGGCTACGAAGCCAACAACTAATGGGACAACTCCATGTGGGACTGTCCCACATTGGAATCATGTAGGACAGTTTCACATGTAGCTGCCCTATTGGCTGTTGCTCCGTAAAGGATCCAACAGTTGGCTCCTTTCATTATTATAATTATTTAAATCAACTTCATTTTAGACTCAATTTATATTATTATTTTAATAAATCACTCATAATTATTTGGTTTCACATCACTTTTGTCCCAACTTCACAAAATTTGCATTGGAGCGTGTATTGCTTTATTTTTCTTTTATTTATCCACACTATTCGTTATTATATTGACAATTAGACAAAATTAAACCCAAAAATATTATAGATGTTCGAATCTAATTTTTTTTGTTTTTTATAATTTCAAATACTTTATTCATTTTTTAGTAAAGCGAGATTCGAATTTTGAGAAAATTTGAAACTCATGAATGATCTATAATGGAGATGTGTAATAATTTTTTAAATTAATGCGACAACAATAATAATAAATAATATCGATTTTTTGTACTAGAAGAATAATAAATTTACATTGTAAAATATATATGACTGATTTTTTTTTTAAAAAATATTAGTAAAATTTAAGCTGAAAAAAACGAGATCACTAAATATAAAATTATCAACTTATTATTATTATTATTATTATTATTATTATTAATAATAATATTATTATTATTATATTCAATGGGTAACAAATTATTTTTGGTTAATATCTAATTGGTGGACTGCCTGTCACCTTTACGTTACCAATTTGGGCCGCTTAGCTAACCCAAGGTCCCTCGATTATCGAGCACTCGCGCTTTTCGCCATCAGCTTTCCAAATAATTACAACTATGCCATTATCTCTGTATTTATATATCGCAAATTTTCTTCTCTTAAACCCTGTGATTTATTTCCCTTCAAACACTCTGCAGTAGCAAGAAAGAGAGAGAGAGAGAGACTTAAAGCTCCATTAATTCGATAAACAACAACTCAGCACACACACACACGAAGCCTCTCTCTCTCTCTCTCTCACACACACACACACTTTCTGTGTGTTTCTGCTTCTTCTTCTCTCTCTAACTTGCGGGGAATACAGAAAAGGTGCGTGGAAAGGAAAAAAAAATCTGTTCTTTTTGGAATCTTTTGCTGTCGTCGCCTTTAGAAGTGAATCGTTTGAAGTGGGTTTTGTTTTTTTTTTTTTTATTCGTCGTTGTTGCTCCTTATCTTTTGCAGAGAAGATTGCGTTTGATTCCCAATGCCGTGTATGAATAGCGATCATGTGATTGTTTTTGTCTTGACTGTGAGTTTTTTTTTTTTTTTTTTTTTTTTTTTTTTTTTTTTTGTGCTTCATTTTGCAGAGGAATTGGTGCGCTGTAGGTGATTATCGAGTGTTTTGAGGTAATGTGCTTGACCCTTTTCTTCTATGGGTGTGATGAATTTGGATTGGACCTTGGTTTGGTTTGTGATGGCTTTTTCTGCATGCAATTGGAAACAACTTCTGTTGATTTTGAAATGTGGGATCATGCTGTGCAACTCCTTCTCTGGGTTTTTGTCGAGTTGTGTGTGTTGACTTGTGCCGGTTGCCTCTAACTCCGTCTGACGGCAAATTGAATCGAGTTTGAGGGATATATTTGGCTTCTTTAGGTTCTGATTATATTGCTGCTTGTAAGTTTTTTTCATAAATAAGTTGGATTTTCTTACCCCAATTATGAAGTTGGATCCGGCTTTTCGATTTCGGGTTGATTTTTAGTTTGTTTAGGGATACGATTGGCTCCTTTTGTTTCGTATTCATTGTTGTTTGTGTAGACTATTTGTTAAATAAGTTGGGCTTTTTTTAGCCATTTAATAAACTCTGGTGCGGCTTTTTGATTTCGGGTAGATTACTAATTTGCTTGAGCTTGAGGGGAAAAGGGATTTTCCTGTAAGTTCGATTAGAGCCGCATTAAACGAACCGTGAAAGCTTCTTTCAAATTGACTTTGAGGGATATCTTTCACTCCTTTTGTTCCAAATTGGTTGCTGCTTGTGTAGATTTTTTCTTAAATAAGTTGGTTTTTTTACTAATGAATGAATTTTGATGTGACTTTTCGAATGGGGTAGATTCCTAATTTGTTTGAGCTTGAGGGAAGATGAATTTTCCAGCATGTCCGATAAGAGCCGCGTTAAGTGAACCGTGAAAGCCTCTTTTGAATCGACTTTGGGGATATATTTGAATCATTTTGTTCCAAATTGATTCCTGCTTGTGTATTTTTTCTTAAATATGTTGGACATTTTTTTACCAGTTTATGAACTTTGATGCGGCTTTCCGATTTCGGATAGATTCTAATTTGTTTGAGCTCGACGAAAAATGGATTTTTTCAGTAAGTCTGCTAAGAGCTGCATTAAGTGAACCATGGAAGCTTCCTTTGGCTCTTGCAAGTTAAATAATGGAAACTTTTCGGTATTGTTAATGCTGAATGAAAAAGGAGTATGATGGTAATCTTGTTAGGAAATGTTTATTTATTATTTTTTGTTTGGTAATTGGGAGATCTCGACCATCTGATTTAATTAAATAGCTGATGTAAGAAAATGAATAAGATTTTTTCGGCAATTTACATTTTGTTGCAAGAAATTATAAGATGCTTTGAATATTGAACATGTGTTGGTGTGTGCAGGCAAAACTATTTCTTTTTTAATGCTCAAAAAGTCCCGAATTTTGAATCTCATGGCAGGTTATTCCCTTGAATTCTAACCAAGGTTCAGCCTTGGAAGATTCTTTCATCAACTGCAAGACGTCAGAATCTGTTGTTATTTGTCCCTATTTATTGTGTCTTAAATTATGAAAAGTGGCATTTGATTTGTTGTAGCTCCTTGCTGGTTTTGTTTGAGTCTTCTATCTGTAAGATATTTACGTGTCTCGGAGCGAATTTCTGTAAACATATAGCAAATTGAATTTGCTGCATGTCAAACACAAATCTTAACGTGTCCTTACTAATGCTGTTTTTTCTTGATTATCCTTTAATGGGAAGCTCATTTCTCAGGGTAGTGTTACTCTAAACCAGAATTTTAGATCAATGTCATTTTTGTTTTCTTTTATATTCGGTCTATATTCAGATCAATTGATTAGCTTGGTTTGTTGTTGTTGTTGTTTTTTTTTTCCCTCTCTTTCTCTAGGAAAAATAAGAGCTTAAATGGATAAAGACTTGCATGAAGTACTGCCAGCTACAACTGCCCAGCTTAAGGGCATTCGTCTTGGTATTTTGTCTGATGAAGATGCGGTACGGGCACATACACTTTAATAGTTTCCTTTAATCGTCATCTAATGTAATATAAAATAATATGGGTTTACCTTTGTGAATTGCCCCGTCTTATTAATATCCGCATTTCACATTTATAGGAGAAGCTATCTGCATCCGTGATTGGATCAGTTCATGATGTATCAAGTGCCTCGCTGGGACTTCCTACGTTTAATGCTACAGAGTGCACTACTTGTGGTGCCAAAAATGCAAGAGACTGTGAAGGTATTTTGAGAACTTATAGTAGTGATCATGCCATTTTTGTCTTTTCTTTTCCACCAAAAATCTTCATGTAACTTTTGTGACTGCAGGGCATTTCGGTCGGATCAACCTCCCGTTCACTATTCTGAACAATTATTACATGCCCGAAATTGCACAAGTTCTTAACAAAATATGTGTAGGATGTAAACGTATCCGGTCTGGCAAGGCCAAGGTTAGACACTATATTATGTGTTGAAACAATAGGATTCTTGATGTGGGGAAACATTGTTTCAAATTTCAAATTAATTTCATTACCATTGTTTCATCTTGCCAACCCTTAATAATCTCTGGGATCCTCTCTGATGAATACAAGTTTAGAAAGATTCATTATATAACTGCATGTATACCAATTCAGTTGATGCTAATGCTAGTGGAAGTTGCTCCACATTATATACCTTAATTGTCAGTGTTCTTATTATCTTTCTTTCTTTCTTTTCTAATTGAAAGTTTGTTTTATAAGCTAAAGAAATCAACTAAACTATCACTTAACCACTTGAATTCTCCTCAACCTGTTGATGACAGTCATTTTGGTTGTTTTTTGCATGTATTAGAAAGCTGATTCTGCTGCAAGTCGTCATCCGCCTACGATATGCAAATATTGTCATGTGAGTGACTCTTTTCATTGCTATGATTAACTTGTTTTCTCGCCATGGAACACGAGATATGGATCCCATAAAAATAAAATACATGCAACTTTTTGCACGGTCATGATTTACATTATTTTTCTTCGGTTAACAGGGAAGCGCAAGATTCGGATACCCTAAAATGAAATTCCGTATATCTTCGAAACATGTCTTTGCCAAGAGTGCGATTATTGCGGAAGTCCATGAAAAATTTGTTGATAAGAACTCTGGCTTCAGCCTGGCTTCGGATTATTGGGATGTAATCCCAAAAGATATTGATCAAGCGCACGACAAGTTGCCGCCAAACAAGAGAGTACTATCTCCTGCTCAGGTGACAGTCTTTTTGACCCTTTCTATTTTAATACTTCAGTTTGAGGAAATCTCCTTACAAATTCATTTCATTATCTTAATGTTATTTTGTTATATGCGTCTCACTTCTCTCATGAGCCTCATCCCCACCAGCTATTCTTTTTGCCCTTTCTTCGTTGTGCTTGGAAAGTAAAATATTCTGAAGTCTTAGTGAAATTATGTCCTTTATTTTCTTCTAGTTGTAATTTGATATAGTTATGAGGTGCCTCTAATTTAGCTACAAATGATGCTAAGATCTTCCCAGTCAATTAATTACTTACCCAGATTTTGTCAGATTGTGGAAATCAATTGCTTTCTCAAATATTGTACGAATATGCCAATCAATACTTCCCGAAATATCAGCTACATGTTGCATGGATACTAACAATATTCCTTATTAGTGCTATTAAAATTAAGTAAATTTTTTTACACAGTCCAGTGTGTTAACTAAATCATTTTTGGTTTACCCTTGAATAAAAACTAACGACAATGCCACTGAGTTACCTAACATGTAATTATTTCCCTTCAGCTGGGACAATTCTTGTGTATGCCATCATTTTCAGGTCTGTAACCAGGACCATGTATTTACTGTCATCTCTCGTTCAGGTCTTTACCATTTTAAAGGACATAGGTGAAGGTATTCTGGAAAAGCTTGTGAAGAGGAAAAACGCAATCTTCCAAAATACTTTGCTCGTGACCCCGAATAGTCATCGGGTGAGAGAATTTAATCAGCGCATGACTACTGTAAGTGATTTCAACTCCATTGATGCTCTTCTTTTTTGTAACCGTAAATGCCTGGGGAATTTATATACCTATTACTCTGTATCCGTCTCTTTTGTAACTTTTTCTATCGTCCAGGATGAGACTACAAAGTTGTACCGAAAGCTGGTTGATTTTTCAGGCACACCAAATGGACTGAGTGCTGGCGTTCTTGAAAGATACAAGTTGTCCAAGGCAAGAAAAAGTCAACCCTATCATTTCTTTTACTTGATCATATATATACACACGTTTGTTTTCCCCTGTTTATTTTGTTTTTTTTTTCCTGATATAAATTATTTGACGTAAAACTTCTACCCTGATCGTGCAGTTACGCTCTGAGACAGTCTCGAACCAACAAAAGGCATACGAAAAAGAGTCATTAAACGAGTCAGTCTCGAGCTCATCAGGTCTGAGGAACCTCAAAGACCTTGTGCTCGGCAAGCGAACAGACCACTCCTTCCGTATGGTGGTTGTTGGCGACCCGAGACTCAAAGTTGGTGAAATCGGGCTGCCCTCTCAAATAGCCGAGAAAATGCTCGTCTCTGATCACATCAACTCATGGAACTGGGACAAGCTCGAGCAGTGCTGTGATTTCATGCTCAAGGACAGGGGATGCTTTTCTGTCCTAAGGAATGATAAAACGGTCACAATCTGGACAAAGGACATGTTAAGACAAGGCGATTCCATCCGCCGGCAGCTATTGGATGGGGACATAGTTTTGATCAATCGGCCCCCTTCTATCCATCAGCACTCGCTCATAGCATTGTCTGTCAAGATTCTCCCAGTAAATTACGTTATATCCATAAACCCTCTAATCTGTGATCCTCTCAGAGGGGACTTTGATGGGGACTGCCTGCACGGCTACGTGCCGCAGTCCGTGAATTCGAGAGTCGAGCTTAGAGAGCTTGTATCTTTGGACAGGCAGCTGGTGAACGGACAAAACGGGCGAAATCTCCTCTCGTTGAATCAGGACAGCCTTACTGGGGCCCACCTCTTGCTGGAGGATGGTGTTGTCATGACCAAAATCGAGATCCAGCAGTTGCAGATGCTTTGTTCTTCTTCTTCCCACGCGCTGCTGCCAGTGCCTGGTATTGTGAAGTCCTCTTCTTCAGGGTCCGCTTTGTGGACTGGGAACCAACTGTTTAGTGAGCTTTTGCCTCGGGATTTCGAATTTAGCTACCCATCGAACGGCGTTTGCATACGGCACGGGGAAGTCGTGTCGTCGTGCTCGAATGGATCGCTTTGGCTTAATGACAGTAGCGAGAATCTCTTTCAGTGCCTTGTGAGGCACTACCGGGATAATGTGCTCGATTTTTTAACGGCCGGGCAGGAGGTTCTTTGTGAGTGGCTCATGAGGAGAGGATTGAGTGTTTCTTTGTCGGATCTTTACCTCTCTTCGGATAAAGATTCCCGGAAGAATCTTTTGGAGGAAATAAATTTCGGTCTGCAAGAGGCGAAGAAATTATCCGAGATCAGTTTGGTGATGGTGGCTGGCAACGAGCATCTTCTGATGGAAAGCAGCTCGAACGAGAGTGAAAACACAGACAATGTTTTTTTTCCCCTGCGGAATTTAGGAGCCCAGCAGCAGTCTGATCCTCGGCTCTTTCAAGCTTCGGTTTTGGCTCTCAAGTCAGTTTCGCGAGACATGCAGAGTCTAGTATACAAGCACGCAGGAAAGAACAATTCTCTCATAGCCATGCTGAAGGCCGGAAGCAAAGGGAATCTTCAAAAGTTATTCCAACACAGTATGTGCGTGGGTTTGCAGCACACGCTAGCCCCAGTTGCCTTTCCTGTCCCGATTGAGCTCTCGTGTGCTGGATGGAACAAGGAAAAGAATCGTCACGAAGAGTTGCGTGGATTTGAGGCAGTTTCAGACTCGTACATTCCATGTACAATGGTGGGGAGCTCCTTCTTGGAAGGTTTAAATCCCATGGAGTGTTTCATGCTCTCATTGACGACACGTGACAGTACTTTCGGTGGCCATGCGGATGTTTCTGGGACTCTGGCTCGGAAGTTGATGTTCTTCATGAGAGACTTGATGATTGGGTATGATGGCACTGTCAGGAGCAGTTACGGAAATCACGTCGTGCAATTTGATTATTGCTCGGAGAACACGCTTGCTGAACGTGATGATGGTCCTGTTGCCGGACATCCAGTTGGCTCAATGGCTGCTTGTGCCATTATTGAAGCTGCCTACAGTGCTTTGGATCAACCAGTCAGTGTGCTAGAACCATCGCCTTTGTTAAATCTGAAGGTGCTCTCTCTCTCTCTCTCTCTCTCTCTCTCTCTCTCTCTCTCTCTCTCTCTCTCTCT